TTTAAAAAAATATTTATTTATTTTTTTTTAGTTTTCGGTGGACATAACATCTTTGTTTGTATGTGGTGCTGAGGATCGAACCCGGGCTGCACGCATGCCAGGCGAGCRCGCTACCACTTGAGCCACATCCCCAGCCCCAGCAATTTTTTTTAAATAGAAAGAATTGGAATATAGCTCAGTGATAGAGCACCTGGGGTTCAATTCCCAGTATCCCCCAAAAAATGCAAATGGGAAAGTTTTTAAAAAAWATATAAGTTTTTTTGACTATCAAAGATTTTCTGAGAAAGGTAATAATTTATATTTCTTGTTACAGTAGCTGTGTGTGTAAAATACACTGAAAGGCAATGACCCCCACCCCCAGTGTAATATTAATATTACCCTCAGGGTAATATTGAACAGGGTTATATTAAAAATATTAAAATTAATATTAAATATTGTGAAATGCCTAGAATTTTGTACCATTACCACTAACCTTCAGTGTTGAGGATTTACAATGTTGTCTTTGATTTGCATTTTTCCACTATAGTTCCTTAGACATTTGTGTGGATTTTTATTTTCATGTAAGAGGCAAATACAAATGTCATCCTGGACATTTTTAGAAGTTGTTTTCCTAGTAAATCTGAGGGTGATGCTTATTGAAGAAAACTCTGATCTTTTCTTTACCAGTTCCACTTGACCTGAATTTGGTATTTTTTTCAAGAGGCAAACAAATCAAGATTATATGTGAGTGACATTTATTGCCTATGCTGGGCTGCTGTATCTGACAGCATTTTGTAAGAAGGAACGATAAAGACGATGACATGTTTATTTTAGAGGTTGAGTAACCTTGCTCATCTTTTATGAGGAAACAAAACACCCTGAGAAGCCAGTTTCAGAATTTCAGTAATCAAGAACACTCAATGAAAGTAGGAAACACTAGTCAGTCCCAGGAGTAGTGGTGCAGGCCTGTAATTCCAGCAACTTGACTTGGGAGGCTGGGGCAGAAAAACAGCAAGTTTGAGGTCAGTCTCCTCAATTTAGCAAGACCGTCTCAAAAATTAACAACAGCATCAACAAGGCATTGGGAAGTGTTCCAGTAGGGACTTGTGAAGAAAGTCGTGGTACARAGTCTTGCTACTAAGTATAGAAATGTTCCCTTTTTCTGTAATCATGAGAGTTAAATTCACCACCAAGAATCGTACTTTCCTGCTCATCCCTCGGGTCTTTGACTTTCCCCTTGTGACTGCCCTTCTTCGTGTGCCCTCACCACCGTTTCTCCCATGACAGCATGAACTGGTGCACTAGTACTTAGACACAGTACCTAGCCAGACTCTGCCTCCGGAATTAAATTTGCGCCTCCCTCCTCCCTAGTTCCCCGGGGCAGGCTCTAGGCACCCAGCAGGGTCCGGCTCGGCCCCACCCCTCTCCCGGGTTGGCTGCGGGGCGACTGGCTGGCTCCTCCGCTCGGGATTGGCTGCTCCGGGGAGGCGCGTCTCCCACCTCGGGATAGGTCGCCGGCGGAGGCGTCTATCCCCGGCGGTGCTGGGGCATTTCCGGACTAAGATGGCTGCAGTGCGAGTACTGAGGACCTGGAGCCGCGGTGCTGGGCGGCTGGTAAGCAGGTGGGGGTGGACCTGAGGCCGGGAAGGAGTGACTCGTTCCGAGGCTTCCGGGCCTGGAGTGTTACATTCTCCCGCGATAGCCACGCGGACCGGGCACGCGTGGTGGACAGGTGGAGGGACGCATGCCAGGGGAGGGCAGAAAAGGTGGCGAGGCGACAGGTCTGGAAACACACTACCTCCCTTTACGTGAACGAGCTTCTACCGCGATTCGGTCGTCCTCCTACTTTGTCTACCGAAGCCCAGCTACCCTTTCGTCTGCTGCCCTTTCCTTAAGCACTTTCTAGGTGCTTAAGATAGGCGCTGGGGATGCAGAGATTTTTTTTTTTTTTCATTTAGAGTTTATTGAACACCCATGGAGTGCCACACACCGTAGTAAGATCCCCGACGTCGGGAAATTTACCGGTTAAGCAAAGAGCATCACCACAGAGTCTTTACCCTTCGGGAACTGAGAGTCTTGAAATTCACTCTCTTCGCTCCTTTTGTACACCACCTCTCCTGCTAAAGACTCTCTTTAGCAGACCTTTAACAGCAGGCACGGACACACACTAGTAATGATACTGTTTCACCCTATTTGCGCAACTGTTTTCTTTTTGAGCTCCTGTTTCCTGCAGCGATCGACTCATGATCTTACAAAATCGAATTTAAGAGTCTGCTGTGAACCAGGTACTCTTCTCAACACTGGGGATGCAAATAAGTCAGGCAATATCCTCTCCTCCCAGAGATTGCAACTTTGTGGTGAAGAACAGAGAGGGAGACAGATGTAGAACCTAAGCAATTATAAATTGTTATAAGAAAGGCGGTGATGGCAAATGCATGAAGTTACAGGGACACACAGGAGTGGATATTTTTAGAGTACTTGGGCGTCAGAGAGGAGTCCCTACCAAATACTGAATAACACAACATAAGTAGAAGATAACCAGGAGAAGAATGCTCTTAGCAGCACCTAGTAGGTGGTGGCAGCCCTTCTTTTGAGAGCTTTCCATTCCTCCTACATCATTGGCCATTTTGTTCCAATCTCTTTCCCCCATCCAGCTTTTAAATACAATTATGTGCTACATAATGACGTTTTGCAGTCCTTATATGGACTGCATATATGACAGTGGAGTGCACGTACAAATGTGTAACCACAAATCCCACCATTATGTACAACTATAATGCACCAATAAAAAAAATGTGGAAAAAAAAATAAAACCAAGAAGGGGTGACATCAGGCAATGGTGTTAGGATCATTGGATAACCATATGCAAATGAATGAGGTTGAACACTTACCTCATACCACATTGTAAAAATTAAGTCAAAATGAATCAAGGAGCTGAGTGTGGTGGCTCCCTCCTATAATCCCAGTAACTTGGGTGGCTGAGGCAGGAGGATTATGAGTTCATAGCCAGCCTCAGGAATTTAGCAAGGCCCTATGCAACTTACCAAGACCCTGCCTCAAAATAAAAATTAAAAAGGACTGGGGATGAGTCTCAGTGGTTGAGCACCTCTGAGTTCAATTCTGGTACCAAAAAAGAAAAAAAAAAATCAARGCCTAAATGTAAAAGCTAATACTATAAGACTCTTAGAAGAAAATGTAGAGGTTAATAATCATGACTATAGATGTGGGGGATATATCTTAGATATGATACCATAAGCATGAGCAGCAGGAGAAAAAGTAGATCAGTTGGATTTATCAAAATTTAAACCTTTGCACTTCAAAAGACATCATTAAAAAAGACAACCCATAGGCATGGGGTTGTGGCTCAGAGGTAGAGCACTCGCCAAGCATGTGTGAGCCTCAGCACCACATAAAAATAAAATAAAGGTATTGTGTCCACCTATAACTAAAAAATAAATGTTTTTTAAAAAGACTACAAAATGGGAAATATATATATATATATATATATATATATATATATATATATATATAATCATTTACCTGATAAGGCCTTATCCCGTATGCATGGAATATATAAAGAACTGTCACAACTCAATAATTTAAAAAAAATCTAACTTAAAAAGTTATATATATATATATATATATATATATATATATATATATATATATGAGCTGAAAATTTCCTATTGGCTTGTGTTTTTACTATACTTTCTCTATATTCACTGATGCATTGAGAAACACAAATACCTTTGTGTTACAGTTGCCTGCAATATTTAGTATAGTCACATACTTTACAAATTTGTAGCATAAGAGATATAGGCTATTTACTAGTAAGCCATTTGGTTTTGTATAAGAATACTTTAAGATGATCCCACAGAAGAGATCACCTAATCAGGCATTTCTCAGAACATGTACCTGTCATCAAGTGATTAGGACTCTTGATGTTTTGTTTCCTTTTTTATAATGGGGATTGAAACTAGAGGTGCTTTACTGATTGAGCTACATTCCCTAGCCCTGTTTATGTTTAATTTTGAGACAGGGTCTCACTCAATTGCTAGGGCAGTCCTTGAATTTGCAGTCCTCCTGCATCAGCCTCTCAAGTTCCTGGGATTACAGGCATGTACCACCACGCCTTGCTGACTTTTGGTGTTTCTAAGGGCTTTAAGTTTGGCCCTCTGCACTTTTCTCACTTCCTAGTTAACTCATCCACTTTGGATTTAGTTACCATCTATGTTGGTGATTCCTAAAGTTCTTCAATCTTCCTGTCATGTCTACTCAAGACCCACATCATTGTCCAAGAAATTTTCATTTGCATGTATATGAGGTGTTTGTCAAGTGCAGATAATAAAAACCCAACAAAAAAGCAGGAAATTAAGTATCTGAGTATATAGAGCATCCTAAAATTAGAGGTCAGCTGACACTGATAAAGTGGTCCAGCATCATCAGAGTTCAGCAGTTCATTTGACTTTTCCTTCAGGGTCACAAGAGAGCTGCTACAATCCTGCCCCCTGCCCCTGCTCCCTACTCACCCCAGTACTGGGGATTGGATCCAGGGACATTCTACCACTGAGATACTTCCCAAGCCCTTTCCTAATTTTTATTTTGAGACAGGGTCTTAAGTTGCTGAGGCTGGCCTCTAACTTGCAATCCTCTTGCCTCAGCCTCCCCAGTAGCTGGAATTACCGGTGTATACCACTGCACCCAGCATACAACTTCTTACTCAGAATTCAAGACAGGAAAGAGGAAGAATTGGTACCAGGGCGACTGACTAGAACCATGTTACATGGCCATATTAGCACAACAGTGGAAAATCTAGCTTTTAGTCATCTCATGTGTGCCATAATATCTTAGACACATCAAACTTGAGGCTGTAGAACAAAACCCTCAAACTTGTTTCTCATCATTCTAGCCTATAACTCTCACTGAAGAAATCTGGTCACTATTCTCTGCCCCACCTGTACTGCAGGTGTCCTGGTCCTAACTAACTGGACATTTTTGCCTCTGATCTATGCCTTTCCAATCTGTTCTCCATAGTTGTAGCCAGGGTGATCTTATCAAGTAAGGCACATATTTGGTAATGTTATTTTCTTATTTAAGACTGTCCTCAACAAAATGTCCAAAATTCAGATGACTGAAGAAATGTATGATCTGGATCTTTTTAATTGCTAAGGCTTCATTCCTTATTAAAAATCTACCCATCCTGCCAGGTATGGTGGCACACGCCTGTAATCCCAGCAGTTCTGGAGGCTAAGGCAGGAGGATCGTGAGTTCAAAGCCAGCCTCAGCAATGGTGAGGCGCTAGGCAATTCAGTGAGACCCTGTCTCTAAATAAAATACAAAATAGGGCTAGGGATGTGGCCCAGTGGTTGAGTGCCCCTGAGTTCAATCCCCATACCAAAAATAAATAAAAATCTACCCATTTCCTTGCCAGGTGCAGTGGCACACACTTGTAATCTCTGGAGGTTGAGGCAGGAGGGTCAAAAGTTCGAGACCAGCCTTAGCAACTTAGTGAAACTCTATCTCAAAATGAAAAATAAAAAGAGCTGGGGATCTGACTCAATGGTAAAGCACCTCCAGGTTTAGTCTCTAGTGCCAAAAAAAAAAAAAAAAAAAAAGCCAAACTCTGACACTTCCCCCACCTTCGTGCACACTAAGAATGCTATTAAACTACTTGAGTTAATTGGACACACCTCTGTTTCAGACCTTTGTACATGTATTCCCTCTGATTTACAAAGACTCTTGCCTTAATGCCCATGGCTTTATCTGCAACACGCTTTATCTACTGAGTTACTCCTTCTCATCCGTCCGGGTCTTGCTTCAACATTACTTTCTCCAGCTAGGCTCCCTTCCTTTGGGTTCCTTTAACATACTCTATTTCCTCCATTGTAGTACTGTGTTAGTAYCTGTTTGTCTTTATCTTTCACTCTACATTTCGAAAGGGAAATAATTATTTCCAAGTGCCTAGCCCATTGTAAATACTCATAAATCAATATTTGTTGAAGGACTCAGTAAAGAACAGTTATTGCTTTTAATGTTTTATAAAAAGTTGTAAGCAACAAGAGCCCTTATCACCCATAATAAATTATCCAGATGCAGGTGGTCTTATGTCATGTTTCACATTTTCCCAGGACATCATGCCTTTGACTCTTAATTACCTTAGCCATGTTATATTGGATTTTTCTATGATGTCTGCTTCCTGTGGAACAGAAAAAGTAACTTGAATGTAGGGACTACTTACTGTGCCCTACTTAGTTTAGAGTTGCATAGTCCAACACAGTGTCTTACTTTGGGTATGTTCAACAGTTGCCTATTGAGGTATTATTTATTTCCTTACTATGCTAATCTGCTAAACCTTTTCATCTCCCTCTGTTTTTGTATTTTAGTTGTAGGTGTGTAATTATTAATAATTACCTTGAGTTAGTAGGTATAAACTGGATTGCCTCAGGCAAGTTGGGACAAATAGTCTCTAGAGAGTGAGATGTACTGAAGCATTGTCGATAGGTGAATTAAAAATTGCCTTCACTGGAGACTGAAATGGAGCAAACTAATTTCCATGCATGTGTGCTGATGTTAAAATGAACCCAACTATTTTTTTTAAAATAGAATGCACTAATAAAAGCATATAAAATAATAAAAAAAGAATTGCCTTAAATATAAAATATATAAAACTGGTAAGGTGTATAAGCATGCCCTTTTATTTTTTTCAGGATAGGGAATACTGTATTGTTTTTGCTTTAAAAACATGTTATTATGAAACATTTCAAACACGTGCCAAAGTGAAAAGGATAATGCAGTGATTTCAGTAAGTTCATCTCTCAGCTTCAACCACTATCAGCCTTGTTCAGTCTCTTTTCCACCAAGTATGTTTAACTCCTCATTTCACAGAGTTTCAGAAAAGTCTCAAGAATAGAACCAGGAACATTCATAAACCCTCTGCCTTGGTCCCTCGATGCTGATGGATTGTTTTCTTCCTCCCTTGTCTTGTTTCTCCTTTCCCCCTCTACCAATCAATCTATTACTCTTTTGCTTTGAAATGATTTAATGTACATTTCCAATGTCACCTCAGCATAATCATCAAGAAATTGATGTTGATGTAGCACTGCTAGCRTCAATTTTGCCTATTGTGTGAGTCATGAGCTTTATATTAAATTTAAACAAATCTGTTTCAGGATAACATGTTGCACCTAATTGTCACCTCCCTCCAAATTTCTTGAATCTCAGTTGTTCATTGACTTTCAAGGCATATGCTTAATGTACTCGTCTATTCTAGTGGGGGAAAATGTCTTCTCTAGCTTGAAAAATATTTTTTTTCCTCTTTTCTGTGCCTTTTAGTCCATCTATCCAGCAACTTCACAAATACTTTTGGTATTTTTATGGTGCTGGGGATGGAACCCAGGGTCTTTTGCATGCTAGAAAGTGCTCTACCTCAGAGCTACAACCCTAGACTTAGACTTCTTTTCATATTCATTCAGTAGCTATTAATCACATAATGTCTGTGCACTTCTGTTGCATGTTTTTCCCCCACTATTAATCACTTCAGTCAGGAGTCTTGTTTCATGTCTCAGATACTATGATAGTTTCTTGAACCATTCTCTCTAGGCTTTACCTGTTGTGAGCTATTTAATAAACTATTCCTACATTAATTTCCTAATCCTTTTTCTTCAGTAGCCCATGATACATAAGTTCAAACTTTTATCCTGACATTTACAGTCACCAACATTTTGGTCCTTGAGCTATCCTCTGCTTTCTTTTTATGAATTTGATCAAGCTACTYGCTGCCCCAGCAGACATGCTAGGCAAATTGCTGCTGTTTATGCTGTTGCCTCTGCCATAAAATTGCCTTTCTGCTGTTTTATTATCTATACTTATTATGCCACGCCCAACTTAAATCTTCCTTCAAGAAGCCTTCCCACATTAAGCTAATCTGGAAAGGAAAAAAAA